GAGGCAGAGAACGAGAGTGAAAAGCAAGAGAGAGAGACACACACACACATCTGGCAGTGGATTGGCCTAGTATTTGCATCATACATGCTCGTATGCACACATGTACATATGCACACGTGTACATATGCACACACCCACACACACACACACCTGGCAGTGGATTGGCCTGGTATTTGTGGCTGGCCTGAAGCAGAGCGAAATGTGAGACATTTTCCGGCGATCGCGTGTGGAACGCTCCTGTGTTGACCAGCGCATTGAGAGGGTCTCTCTAACATAGGCAAACCGCAAAAGTAAGATTTAAACAAAATTAGAATTCAAAATTTAGGGCTAATTTGTATTGTGCAAGACTCGAGAACACTTTTCCATTTGATTCCGAACTTTGAAAGCTGAAGTATCAGAGAGTAAAGTATTGCTGTATTAAAGCATCATAACTACACTACCGTTGCGGATTCCAAACGTAAGCCATGCGGTTAGTATGTCTGTCCAGAAACGGAGGCGCTGTGTTGTATGTCGTGTCAATGCATATGAGTGAATGCAGATTATATATTAAAGGCACACCACGTATTCTCACACGATCTAGGGTTTAAGATTTGGAGTCAGCTTGCGATTTGTTTTGAAGGTATGTGTGGAGGCTCATGTCTGAAACTTATGCAGATGTAGGAATAGGTGATGAAATGGCACGCTACATGAACACCTCCGCCACATGAACATCATAAAGATTTCAGGAACTCAACCAGACCAACCATATACAAATGTACACAAATATACACCACACATGCACCATACAAACACTCATATAATCATAATAAAGACTTCTGGAACTTAACCAGACCAACCATATACAAATGTACACACTACACACATGCACCATACAAACACTCCCATGAACAGCCAGTAGTTTTCGAGAGGGTCTAAAGGTTTCACGCGTGGGGTTGGCCGGCAGTGCTGCTATATATGCGACTACGTAGCAATGGTATAGGGGTGCCACAGTTGTGCAAGATTCTACCTACCACCAACCAACATCATATAGACACACATCCCACAAGAACGTGCACTGCCAACACGCGCATGGTCGCAGAGCCCATGACAGTGCATATACCATGCAGCGTTCAAAGCGAGTGCGGAGGTCCTGCATGGTCTTGTTGAGCTTGACGGTGATGACCTCCACCTTACGCGAGTGGATGTACTTCTGGATGTCCAGAGAGTCGTCTGTGCGGTACTCCAGCCGAGTGATCAACAGATTCTCAATCACATTGCGCACCTTTTCAATCTGTGCACATGGTCATACAATGGTGGTTTAGGGATAGGGTTAACCCCTTCACAATGTGTACACGTTCACATACATCAATATTCATGAGACATCATTGTTGTGTGATAGTGCTCGTGTGAGGCACAGTGCAGATGCCCAGTGCATAGAGTAAATCAGGGTATTCGAATTTAAGGTTTTCGTAGATTTTTGGGTTTATGGTTTTAGATAATTATGTGCATGAAGTGTGTTCAGTGGCTAAACCCTAAAACCGGTCAACAACAGAAGCAGCTGCCACCAACGCTGTACATCGAAAGAATGAGATCCATGCAAACAGTCGGCAACTAAACCCAAATGCGTAAATTCCAAGCAAAAGGGAAACGCTAAAAACTCTCAGTCGGTATACGCAACACAGACTACAGACAGCACAATACACACTTATGTACATATGGTATGGGTGAATCAATTGAACACGACCTTTCGGTTGATCCAGAAATAAAGCAGACACTGAATTTATATGCACCGCGCGGCCACAAAGTCTTACTGAAGCAAACACGGGGCTATATAGATGCATTTAATACAACCTCTATGAGTGCTATATAGTTACATTTAACACAACCTTTATTATATATACTTACAATTGGTGCAACCATCAAACGTGCATGCATACTCTACAGGCAGATCAAAGGTGTAGTAGACTTCTAGTGTTTAGTGTTTAGTTGCACTCACCTGGTCGCCAGGGGTGGCGCTTAAACCCAGTATGCGGAAACGGCGGTGGACGTTAGTGACCGCGCGAATGACTTGACAGTAGGCGGAGTTGCCGCTTGCCTTGTGCGCCTCATCAAACACCAGACACACAATGCGTTTCGCATCGCACGTGCCACTGGCCAAGTCATTGACCAGCACTTGCGACGTCATGAACAGCATGCGTCGCGTGGCGTACAGCTTAGCGCGGTCGGATGCTTTGGTACTGCCTGGGAGGAGGTGGGGAGGGATGGGTGTGGTTGTGTGGTATGGGTGTGTGGGGGTGAGTGTGGTTGTGTGGTATCGGTGTGTGGGGTGGGTGTGGTTGTGTGGTATGGGTGTGTGGGGTGAATGTGGTTGTGTGGGTGTGGTTGTGTGGTATGGGTGTGTGGGG